AGAGATATTTCCCAACATTCTATATAACCAGTTTTTAAATGTTTTTATTGATTTTAGAGAGAGAGAGAGAAACATTGATGTGAGAGAGAAGCATCAATTGGTTACCTTCCACATATGCCCCAACTGGGATCAAACCCACAACCTGGGTATGTGCCCTCACCAGGAATCGAATCTACGATCTTTCAGTGTACAGGACGATGCTCAACCAACTAAGCCACATAGACCAGGGCTGTGTCTCCTTTGTTAATTACTATAAATTGAAGAAAAGGTTAATTTATTTTATACTAAAATGGCAACCATTTGAACTAACCTTGGTGTCAGTATGGCATGTCATTTATATGGCCAAAGAGTAGTAAATAGAAAAGGTACTAATAACTTACACAGGTGTGAATACAGCCATGTCCACCAGCAATGTATTTACTTTACCTTTATGATTAGTAAGTGCCCTTGGAATTGCTGGGCTTTTGGGACAAAGAGATTAATAATAATATCTAATTCAAAGCCAATATGTCTTAAATGCAAAACACACATAATTCATACTCTTTATAAATGAAATGGAATTTCTGCATGGAAATGTTCACATATATTTTATTTCATTTAAATGTGTTTGTAAAGTTATGGAACTGCCGAAATCGGGGACCAAATTTTCAATGTGTTATAGTACGTGTGCCCACCGTTCGTTCTTATTTTTGGTACAAACTCTAAGCTGGAATACAAGCCTTTACCCAACATATTCCAAACATTCTAACTTTCTTACCACTATTCACTTGATATGCATTTTATGCTGCCCTTAAATCAGGTGCTCCTCTGAAAACACACTTGGTACTTTCCCGCATTGGTGCCCATCAAAATCAAGGCCTATCTGAAGCATCCTTTTCTCCCATGAAACCTCTTGGGAATCTCATGGGCCGGGGATAATTTTATACCTTAACACTTCATATATGCCTCTCTTTTGGTAGTTAAACTGCTTCTTTTAATTATAGCTCCCTTAGCAAAGTTATTTCCCAGAATATACTAGATTACAAAGTTTTGATGATGAAAACAGTGCAACACTCTTCTTGGTATCTTACATTCTATTTCTATATCAACTGTATTTTATATTCCCATGCACCTTACACATGCCAAAACCTCAATAATTACATTTACGAAAATAGATTTGTATTAGATTAGTATATATTCCAACTCTGTAAAAGTCTTAGCAAGCATGTCTAGTAGGCCTTTTCCATAAAATGTTTCTAAACCAGTTGGGAAGAGTCTACATTCTGAAGAGTAACTGGAGACAAGCAATTTATTTTTCGGGACTCATAACAAACATAGCCTGGAGTACATTTCAGACATGAACAGCCTGATCCCTGAAGAAATTAATAAAATAAAAATGAAAACTACATTATAAAAGGTCTTTTTGAAGGAACCAGTAATATTTAGTCTGGATAAAAGAATACTTCGGGTGAACATAATCGCGAGCTTTAAATAACTGTAGGATCGTCATGCAAGTCAATGAGTAAACTTGTTCTGGATAGCTGCAGAGGGTCAACTGATGATAAATTGAAGCGTCTACGAGAGCAACAGGCCTCCCTAAGAAAGGAAGAGGTATTTTAGCAGAGATTGAATGCCAGCAGTCCTTGGTGATTTGTTCTGAGTGATTTTTCCTTGCTCGGTTAGGGATTAAATGATGCCTCCAATGGTTTTATCTAAACCTGAAATTCTGGGAAAGACATCACAGTGAAAGTGTCCTGTCACCATTTGACATATCAATACATCAGATTCTATACCTAAGCAAGTTAATCAGCATAATTTAAAGTAGGCCCTTTAAGAGATGCCCTAAATAAGTCACCACTGCAGACTACAAATGGTATCACAGTGGTAGGAACAAGTAAAACTTCTCCCAAATGCTAAATGGATAGTGCAGATGCAGCCTGCTCAAAACCAAGGTCTGACCCACCTGGAAAAAAGCGCTTGGAAAGGTTATATTGACTAAGGAAGCAGGCTATTTGCACATTCCTCATTTTCTCCCAAAAGTCTGTATTTCTCCCAACATAGACCTCAGAATCCCACTTCTATACCTTTTCCTTCTCCCTACTTCCTTGTTTTAGAAATACTTACACATCAGACATAAAAACAGTAGTTTGATTTATACAACTGTGTATTGTAAAAATTTCTTATGAAATTTAAGCCAAAACCAATTGCCTTCAAGTTGATCACAAATGTTGGGTATACTGTTAGGCACTGTTTGCTTTTACAGCCATCAGAAGGGTTAATATAATCATAGCAGACATTAAAACCAGGGGAAATTTGTTATTGATTTCAAAATGTCTTCTGATTCTCATTGCTCCCATCCTAAAGACTACTTATCAGGACATTTTTCTTCAAATATAAATTGTTGGGATTATTAGCTAAAATGCTAATTTTTTCAGATCAGCTAGTATTACCCATGATAATTATTTTCAGACATCATTAGGTTTAACATTAGCAAACTCCTACCAAACATGGCCAACAATAAACCAATGACTGAACAAATTTGGAGGTTGTCCATTAGAAAATCTAACCTCCACACTTAGCATCCAATTATTTGCTATATTCCATACTGCCAGGTGATTTATTTTAAAAGGTCATTTTGAATATCTTCAGCCACTTAGCCCTTTTAAAAAGCTACATTTGATTATATCTGGGCACCAAGTCCTTCACGAATATTCTGAGGTCATTGTACAAGTAAACAGATGACAAAGTCAAAAACAAATGTTTTTGGATTCCTTTTCTTTTGCTTGAATATGGGTATAACTATCTCAAAATGCTGTTACACATGTGCATTAGTGACCTACACAAAATGTGAAAGCATCAGAGGATATTACAACAAGCCATGGAGCTGCTGACCATTATCTTTCTGAAAACAACTACGTATGCATATAATAAGTTGCATCAATAGCAGTCAATTATCGCAAGAACACTCTATTAACCCTCGTCACAGATGTATTGCTGTGTATCACATTTATTTTCACCTGAATTATTCTCAAAACTTAGTGTTGCTTCATATCCTAAAAATAGCCACTACAATTCTCTTGTGTGTTACCCTGCTCTGTTCCTAGGAGGTAGGACAGTGCTATAAACAATGCTTCATTTTTACAGACAAAGAAATAATGAAATATAACAGAGGTACAGCCACTTTGCCTGAATCCTTTTGAAAATCAATAATGAGGCAAGCAATAAATTACTGGGGTCAAGGTTTACTGTCAGCTGTCTGGTGGCCTCTGCAGCCCTGATGTGGCCCCTAATGAGCACATCCTCACAACAAGGACAAAAAAGACATGTGAAATCCTCATTTTCTCCCCAAAGTCTGTATTCCTCCCAACATAAACTTTGACACATAGCAAACAAACTGAATGACAAGAAAATGCATTGAGTGTTTATAACCCTGGATTTTTCCCTTGCTTAGAGAAATAGCGATTATTCAAAATGTAAGCACCAGGAGAAGAAGAAATGGATAATTAGAAGCTGAACTTTCCATGACCTGTCCACAAAGTGTTGGGTCAGCCATCAGCACTGTCCCATAGGGCACTGCTGAGTTGCAAAGACAGATTTCCTCCCTGAAGGAAAAAGATTCACACCCAAGCTTTCACTCCTTCATTTTTCTTTACCTTCACAACCAAGGATATGAAATGGAAGAAAGGGATATACATTCCCTTTTTCTGCTGAATTTATCCAACCAGGCCCACCAAGAAACAACTCTTCCTCAACCCCACAGTGACCCACTTCACATAGCTTTCCTTCTCGGAACACCCTGAACAAAATATGGCCAGAGAAGACTGTCCTACATGGAAGAATCCCAGTTCAACTACAGACTGCCCTACCCAACTGCAGGAAAAAAATTACCTCAAGATGATCCCATCTGTTTACATGTTAGAAAATTCAAGGGGAAGTGCAGAGCTCAGGGTGACCTTGACTATGACTGTCAGAGTGTTTGTGACTGCTGGATGGGTAGGTAGGACAGTTGTTTCTTGGACAACTTCTTATAAAGCTGAAGAAACTCATAAGAGTAAGCAGACTGGTGGACTATAGCTATAGGAGGGAAGACTAGCCAAGACTTCTTCCCTCACTAGGTTCTGA